GTCGCTTTAGGGCATTTAGTCGCTTCTACAGCTGCAGCGTGTTTGATGTGTGCTTGTGCGGTTTAGTTGCACACATATAGCAAGCAACAAAGTGGTTTAGTCCAGAAAATAGTTCTGAAAAGCAGACAACTACTGGGGTGGATATGAGGGATATTTCGAACGAGAGAAGCAACACCAATGATTACACTCTTCAGAGCCCTCGTGCTCCCCAATCTTGAGTATTGCTGCCAGCTTTGGTTGCCGCTCAAGGCGGGTGCGGTGCGGAAACTGGAGGCAGTCCAGCGGGCCTTCACGTACAGGATCAGCGGCATGAGGGAGCTGAACCTGAACTACTGGGAAAGGCTGAAACACCTGGAACTGTACTCACTGGAGAGGAAAAGAGAAAGGTATATCATACTGTACACTTGGAAGATGATAAACGGACTGGCTCCCAACTTAGAGAGTGAGACCTCCAGAATAGTGACACACTACCATGAAAGGAGGGGGAGACTGTGCAGGATTCCCCCATTTAATAACCGAGCCGCGGCCAGAGTACAGACTCTTCGTGAGGGATCACTGTCCGTTGTAGGACCGAGGCTCTTTAATGCTTTGCCAAAAGCGCTGAGAGGAGGGGAGTTTACCCTTGCAACATTCAAGAGACGACTGGACAAGTGGTTGAGAAAGATCCCGGACTGTCCAGTAATGGGAAACTACCCTCAGCAAGTGACAAGCGACAGCATCTTGTATCAGCTGGCCCAAAGGAGAGCAAATAGACGGAACACGGCAAAAGTTCATCCACGACCCGAGGGCGGGGTGACTTGCCTATCGACGACTTGGAGACGGAGGACGACGAAGGCGGAACATCGGCTTGACCGTGGACTACGATGTCCTAAATTCATCATAAGGTCGGTTTTGTTAGTTTTGTGTAGACTTGCATGCCGGTGCGGAGGGCGGCGGAAACATTCCAGCGAAACCACTAGGAACCTAGTGGAACCACTAGTGAGGGGTGCCTGGGGCTGCTACGTCCCAAACACATACTGAGGATATTGATGTTGCCGTTGTTGCAGCTGCTGCTGTTGCCGTTGTTGCAGCTGCGGCTGTTGCCGTTGTTGCAGCTGCTGCTGTTGCCGTTGTTGCAGCTGCTGCTGTTGCCGTTGTTGCAGCTGCTGCTGTTGCCGTTGTTGCAGCTGCTGCTGTTGCCGTTGTTGCAGCTGATGCTGTTGCCATTGCTGCTAACAATGCTGTTATTTTTGCCGTTACTGTTGCCGTTTTTGTTGCCATTGCTGCTGTTGCTGCTGGCGCTGCTGCTGCTTTTCTGCAGCTGTTGTAGATCCCCCTATAACATTATTAGTCCCTCCTACTTCCCCTTTCCCCCAGCCCTCCTCCCCCTTGAGTGATGATGTTGTTGCTAAAAACCGGAATCCTTCATTTTTCCGGCAAGTGAATTCTGGCTTAGGGATATCATTAGGATCCGCCCACCCCAATCCCCACCCTAATCCCCACCGCGTTGGCGTCAGGGGAATGCTGTTGTCCTGGGAATTGACCTTATTCAGAGGTGAGGAATGTCTCGAGCTGCATTCCTGTCAGCATTCCCAGCGCAGGAATGATTCGAGTTGCATTCCTGTCTGCATTCCTGCCGCAGGAATGTATCGAGTTGCATTCCTGTCTGCATTCCCAGCGCAGGAATGTCTCGAGTTGTATTCCTGTCTGCATTCCCAGCGCAGGAATGTCTCCAGTTGCATTCCTGTATGCATTCCCACCTCAGGAATGATTCGAGTTGCATTCCTGTCTGCATTCCTGCCGCAGTAACGTTTCCAGTTGCATTTCAGCTATAATTCTCAGGTCATCTATTGTTACTATCACGACAGTTGATATTGCTGGATATGTACAGTTACGCGCATATTTATTGGCAACACGCTTAAAAATATTTAATTTGAGAAATAATATAATTTGAAGCATTTATTGCAATTTCTGCATTTATTTTCAGTTAAATTGTTCAAAGAACATCTAATTACTGTGCGTAACGGATTGTAAAACGTTAGATCTTTGTTGCTTTTATATTTATTAGAAAAACACCAAATGCATAAGTAATGGCAACATTTTGAAAAAAAGTATATAAATTGTAGGCAACTCTAAATTAATACTATGTGTGACCTCCTTTGGCAGCAATGATAGTAGACAGATGTTTCCTGTATGTTTCCATGAGGTATTGGCATGTTTTAGTAGGAATCTTGCGCCACTCTTCCATGGAAAAAGTCTTCAATTCTTCGATGTTGCTGGGGCTTCTTTTATGAACACGCCTCATGACTTCCCTCCATAAATTTTCAATTGGATTTAAATCTGGGCTTTGGGAAGGCCATTCCAACACTCTCAATTTCTGTGCAGCAAAATAATTCTGTGTAGATTTGCTTGTGTGCTTAGGGTCGTTATCCTGTTGAAAGACAAATGCCCGTCCAAGATGCAGTTTTCTTGCCGATTGCTTAACATTGTCAGTTGAATTGTGTTGATATCCTTCAGAATTCATGATGCCCTCTATCACAGAAATATTCCCAGCACCTGCAGCAGCAAAGCATCCCCACAACATGATGGACCATGCTTCACCATGATGGACCATGCTTCTCTACCTCAACACCATGCTTCACAGTAGGTAGAGTGTTCTTTTCCAGCAGAGCTTCACCAGATTTCCTCCATACAAAGCGGTTGTCATTCACACCAAAAAAGTTCAAGATTTGTCTCGTCCGACCACAATATATTATTGAGCTCTGCTTGAGTAGCATCTATGTGCTTCCTGGCGAACTCCAAATGCTTCTCCTTGTGAATTGGCTTCAACAGTGGCTTCGTCCTTGGTAGACGCCCGTGAAGGCCCTCACGGTTCAGGTAGCGTCGCACTGTTGACACATCCACAGTTTTTCCAGTACTAGCCAGATGTGATTGCAATTCCTTGGAAGTGATCTTCGGGTCTTTATTTACTATTTGCATGCAGGAACACACACCTCTTTCGGTTAATTTTCGATTACGACCGTTTCGTGCTCGATTAGCAGTGGTCCCATCATTCCTGAACTTGACAATAATATTCCTTACGGATGAAATTGGAACATTCAGAGTTGATGATATTTTGCGATATCCATTTCCTTTGTTGTGTAGTTCAACTACACATTTCCTTATATCCTGTGAGTATTCAGAAGTCTTCGCCATAATTGAATTTAGAAAATTTTGGAGATGTGTTTATACGACTGCTTCCAACGACTAACTGAGCAAGCGCAAACTTGGCGTATATAGTTTAGAGTATAGGCACATAGTGTTTGCAAGGTTCTGATTTGTTGTCGAGTCATCCTCAGATCAACCTAGAATTTTCTTGATCAACAATGATGAGTTAAATTGATTTTATGTAAAGGTTGCCATTAATTTTGCACAAGGAAAATAACAATCGATTTACAAAATAAGATCAACTTGAAAATATTAAATGAATAATATATTTTTAAGGTAAGAAATTTGTTTACACGATTACAAGCTAGCATTTTAATACATGCACACTAATATTTCATCAGTATCTTGGACATAGGTGCAAAATTTAAATTTAGAGTTGAAAGTTACCAATAAATATGCGCGTAACTGTATGTTCAGTAATATAAATAAACTTTATAATAGGAAATACTTTTACACGAAATTTCAATAAAATTTTCCTCAACAATCAGCAAAGCTCCTAAAAACACTGTCAGCAATCACAAATCGTCCAAAATACCGTCAGTAATCAATTAGCTTCTAAAATAATTACAAAAACAATAAATCACAAGAGTTCAGAACTTCATGTCCAGCGTGCGCTAGAACTGACGACCCGTCGGTGTCAAACGCAGTAGAAAAAAGTAGGGAAGCGTTCCAAAAATACAAAAAAAGCTTATAAACACCCCCAAAAACGCCTCTAAAGCCACCCCAAAACGCCTCTAAAGTGGAGCAGTCCAGGCGGATGAACTCGTCGCGGTCGCCCCGCGTGTGCTCGATGCCGAAGCCCAGCGTCAGCATCAGCGCTGCCAGGCCTCTCTGGGTCGGGGGACACATTCACTGAGACAGGCTGACATTCACTGGGACATGCCGACATTCACTGGGACAGGCTGACATTTACTGGAACAGGCTGACATTTACTGGAACAGGCTGACATTTAGTGAAACAGGCTGACATTCACTTGAACAGGCTCACATTCATTGGGACAGGCTGAAATTCAATGGGATAGGTTGGCATTCACAGAGAGAGGCTACCACTCACTAAGACAGGCTGACATTCGCTAGAATAGGCAACCATTCACTGGGAGAGGCGGTTAATCACTGGGAAATGCTCACATTTACTAGTGGAGGCTCTTTTTCAGTGAACGTAACTATCATTAATTAGTTAACGCCAACATACACTTGTGTGATAAACATTCATTCGTCAAAGCTAACATTTACTGGTCGTGACTAACATTAATTAAGCATGGCGAACATTAATTGGTCGTGACTAACATTAATTACTAAGCCAAAGTTTATTTCCTTAGGGAGCGACAAACACTCGTAAATCAATACTTATATTCAATGGTCGCGACGTGTAACTGACATAATTTTTCAAGGTTGGCATTAACTGGTGATGATAGAGCATCAATTACTCACGGACTGGATGGAGGGGGGCGGGGTGATGAGGATACTGCGCCCCGCGGGGTTGTACTGCCATGTGGGGGATCCCTCACTGGAGGATGGAGAGGAAGGTTATATTAGATGTCGGGATGAATTTTATAACCACATGCATGACTGTGCTTCCTTATCACTATGTTCTTACGTCAGCTTTAGATCGTTCTCGTCCGTGGTTACTCTGATGCGCCGCCTTCGTCGTCCTCCGTGCTCAAGCCGTCGATAGGATATCGTCCCTTCAGTCCTACTCCTACACGACGTACTACCATGTCTGCCGTAGCACGCGCTTGATGTACTGTACTCCGAAGTACCTCGCACATGAAGTCAAGTACTCTTTACAGCGCCCATCATCACACCTAATGTACCTCACAGAGAATGTGCCCCANTAAGGAGGTCCAGGTAGGACGTCTCGTTGGTACGTCGCACGAAGCGCACGCACGACACGTCCGAGATGGCGGCCATGTTGCGCTGCATCGCTGCCACGTCCTCGCTGCCTGGGGACCACAAGTACCACACAAGTACCACTCACTGAAGGCACCACAAGTACCACTCACCGAAGGCACCACCACAAGTACCACTCACTGAAGGCAGCACCACAAGTACCACTCACTGAAAGCACCACAAGTACCACTCACTGAAGGCACCACAAGTACCACTCGCTGAAGGCACCACAAGTACCACTCACTGAAGGCACCACCACAAGTACCACTCACTGAAGGCACAACAAGTACCACTCACTGAAGGCACCACAAGTACCACTCACTGAAGGCAGCACAAGTACCACTCACTGAAGGCACCACAAGTACCACTCACTGAAGGCACCACAAGTACCACTCACTGAAGGTACTGGCGAAGACGTACGGCACCACGGCGCCGGGCCACGCTATGAATGGTACGTTGTACACGACGTCGCCGGCCCTGACGTTCCTGCCCTGTTACGTCGCATCTGCTAATGAGCTATTCAATGTGCAGTGTACTATTGTAATAAATAACATGCTGTCATAGACAATATGTTGTATTATAACAATATATTGAAATAAACAACGTGTGGTAATCAACAATACATCGCAATAAAAAGTATGTAACAAGAGACAACATATTTTAATATTGGTAACAAACTTATTGATAAGCAAGTACAGTTTTTACCTGACCTATATCTTCTGATGAGGCAAAAAAGCCTAAAATTGACTTATGTGTGCGCTTGTATTTCTTGCTCTGTGCAGTACACAATGTTTGTGTACCCGATACATTTGCTTATGGTATAAAATGTATACCATCAAAATATATCAATATCATTATAGACATCATACATCTAAAACAAGGATATGACATAAAATAAAAACGGCATGATGTTAGTGTCGGCAGTGCATTGTTCGCATGCTGTATATTGTTCACTAAGTATGCAGTATCACGAAGAGTCTATTGTGAATGTTGCGTATTGTGTGTTATACTGTGTACGGTATGTACAAAAATTTACACACCGAGTATTATTTTTTATTGCATTTCAAAATCTGGATGTAAATAATTTTAAATTTTGTATTTTAATTCTGTAATGCGATTATAATGGCGCATTGTTCTTAGGATCTTGTGTAACATGTACTTAAAATAACCGATACCATCAATGTTATGTGTCACAGCACATCACTTAGAACGTTACCAGCTGTGCGGCCGTGGATGGCAGAAGCGTGACGACAAGGGCAACCATCCTCCATACGAGGGTAGGCATCCCTTTTTTGGGGGCCGCCAACCCTCTTGTGAGGGTAGGAAGTTTCCATGTGAGGGTGGGAACCCCTCTTGTGAGGAAGGCCACCAAGCATGCTAAGGTGAAACTCAGCAATTTCATCGCAGGACACTTTGGTGAGGGGAGATCTCTTTGATCCGAGGGTTTTTACGTTGAAGTTACGCGCTACTGCCTTTCCTGACTTGATTTTTCCTTCCACTTAAGATATCAAATTTACGATAAATTTTACTGAAAGACAGAACGTTTACATGAAGCACAGTGAGCGATGCAACTACTTGAGCCGAACTGCACGAGAAATGACAGCAGTCGCTGGAAATGTGCCTTCGAGCTTCTCAGTGTTGATCATCACAGTATGTATACGATGTCAACATGATGTCAACCCGATTTCAACATACTGTCAACATGTTGTTAATGTGATTCCATCAGGCAGCTCAGATTTCTTCACCATAATTGCATTGTTTGCGTAACATTGCGGTGCGTTTTCATGAAACAATCTCAGCCATTCTCGTACTGTTAAGTATAGGGTTTTTTAAACTACGATGTAACTGCATTCGTTCAGTGAAACAGTAAATTAAATTTAAATTATTAGGTCATTGAAACGAAGCACGATCACATAAATGAGATCGTTTAAAATCTACAGGCGGCGATTTAAACATTGGTTCAGTAAATAAAAGTTCTTGATACGAATATTTTACCCTGCCATCGTCAATATTTCGTATTGATTGATATGCTCTACCGTACCACAGTCATTTACATGTCACGGAGTGATACACTTCATCGAGTTGTGTCATGCACCGCAATTATAT